TTAATGTTCCCTTAACAGCCTAACAGGACAATCCAAATTCTCTCTCATACTCTAACACGAAAAAGGCAGTACCGTATTATAAATCCATTGGTCAAGATTTGCATCAAATTGCCCAAGAAACAAAGGACGAGATAACACACTCAAAAAGATACAGGCTTATAATATCTAAGAAGAGAAAAATCCTTATCCTGATCTCAGCAAACGGGCCAGTTCAATGGCACTGAAGGAACCACTCTACACGGTGCCACTCGTTCAACGCTTACAATACAAGTACTGAAGCTACAAGAAAATGGAAGAGCTCTGGCTAAGAGGCAAGCAGCGTATGCTTAAATCTCACACTAAATAGGCAACAACTACAGCTTTTCAGAAAGATAGCCRCTAAGGAGAGAAGGTGAGAACTTCCTGCTGTTTCACATGAGAATCTTTGAAAGACAGGTAACAGGCACCTGGAGAACACACACACACACACACAAAATCCTCCAAAATAAGCAGCTCTTCACCTGTGCTCTTACCTCCTCCGCCTGATTTAAGGCACACGTCYTAAAATAAATTCATTTATAATGGCAGCCACAGCTTGCAGGCTGCCTCCTCTAACCAAAGACACTTACCTAGTTCTTTATCAGATCCTGTAAACAGTTTTTTTTTTTTTTTTTTTAATGCTTGACAGAAAAATGCCCTTGTAACCTGTTCCCTGTTCTGCACCCAGTGTGCTCAGTGCCTGCACTATCAACTAAAGGCAGCAGCAACCACTGCAGAGAACGCAGCTACAGAGCAGTTACACCACGTAGTTTCTTTGTGTGGCTGCCTAAGGATCGAGTTGCATGTGGTTCCCATTCCGGCTGTCATTGCTTCACTCCTAAAGGAGAAGGTGGCCATTTAACAGCAGGTGTAAAGAGGCACAATGGAAATAACACTATAGCAACCACCGCAGAAGTCAGCCACACAATACACATATTTTAGGTAAGCAAAAACATGATACCAAGGTATTTTTCCTGACTKCCTCAGCTTTTCTATTCCACACAGCAGCCAGTGCTCTTAGCTTACTTGGTCCTGCAGCGCCCTGTGGAAAGCAGGCCAAAGAGGCCAGTCCCTGCACATCGCCCAGAGATGCTGCATCTGGTTCCAGCTCTCATCCCTTCCTTTCAGTGCCATGAGGTCAGAGTTTCTATGTGCCATTTGCACACTGCCTTCCTTCCTTATCCTGTCATCTTCCTCCCTCTTTCCCAGACAGGGAAAAACCTATTCAAAACTTATGGCTAAAAATGAATCAAGTCCTCCCTTACTATGGAACTTGGAAAGCGAGAGTCTAGGAGAAAAGTGAGACAGCAGTTCTGATTAAAAACAGCTGACTAKAGAGCTATGCATTTGTTAAATTAATAGTAATAGAACTAGAAGAGGGAAAATTTCAGATTTCATTTGCTTTTAATAATAGTTTTCTTATGCTGCTTACATAATGYAGCAATATTTTATACATAAATGTTCTAGCTATAGCCTTTTTTAAAAGAAAAATCAATATTTGTGAAAACAAAGTAAATAGCTGTGGTATTTAAAATGAGGACTGATCTATGAAATTGAAATCAATGCTTCACAACTCCATACTAGTTATATATACATATATATATATATAATATTTTTCAGTTCAACTCTGTTTCAGAGCTTATGTTTGTGGGCTAACCATTTTTAATGGAAAAAACATATTGTCCTAAAGTTTATTTTCTCAAAAATAGTGTGTCACAAGACMCGGCATGTTTAATAAGATCATTTGCAAGTATATTGCAAATATGCAGAAGCACTTTGGGGTTCTTTCATGTCCATCTTAAACTGGGGAAGTATTATTTTAAATATACCAAGTCTAGATGCATTATGAAACTTGGAGACACATAATAAAAACAAGTGAATTCCAGATAAAGGCCCAGAAAGTATGGACATCAACTTAGGTAGTAGAATAAGTCAACCTTTAAACTATTTTAATAGAATATGAATATTAAAAAACAGCAAAAAAAGAACTTGTTTCATATTGGCAGCTACTACAACAGGAGCTTCTTTTTTGCTGACATTAGATGTTGTTCTTTTTAATTATCYAAGGCAGGAGGAAGATGGCCAGCTCCTCACCCGCAGCTCAGGTCACAGTTGTTACCTAAGCAGGTCTCTTGCTCTCTGCTCACCAAGCCACTCTAATCTGAACTGCCACTTAAGGACAGACCCAAGGCTAGCAAATTCTGGTGGCTGCACGCAGTATCTCATGCCTCAAACTTCATCAGTGCTGACATGCAGCCTCCACACAGCCCTCTCCTGCTAAGAGAAGGCTCTGGAATCGGGTTTTCAGTAAAAGCATCTGCTAGTATCAAGTCAACTGCCAGTTTCTTATCATATCCATCTCCTATGAGACGCACCCAACAGTGTAGATAGTACATTAGATTATGTATGATTAAATCTCTCCATCATAAACAAGAATTAACAGGTACTTGTTAACACTGAATCATGTCTCATGTATTGCAGCATCTCTCTTTATTGTAATACAATTTTAATTAGAGTTTACAAGACAGACCTATGAGATCTAGTGAAGCATGGGCTAGAGACGATGGGTGCTTAGGACACTCACTTCTGTCTATTTAGTAATTATGCTGATATACTGAACATTAAGCAGGATATTAGACACATTCATTAAGATATTATTTTTACTCTCCAGGAGGGATTTTAGTTTTTTTATATTRCTTTAAAAATATGCAGCAATGTTAAAGAATTTTAAGCACGCATATAAACGAGGGAAGATTAAACTTAATCCATTTTTGCATTTTATAAGCTTAAAAGGTTAAGAAATTCTAAACTTCAGATAACTAAACCATGATTTTCATTTTATGTTGTCTGTCCCTGCTTGATCCCTTAAAATCCSTGTTACATCCTTACAGGCCTAAACCCAGCAAACTATTTCTTACTTGTACAGGCATGGAAAACCACTATATTTATACAATGGATATGCAAAACTTGACTCCCAGGAAAGGAATAAGTAAATATACGAGTTCTCTGTCATGGCACAATAGTAAAAGCAGGGCTTACAGAGTAATTTTCATGTAGTAAAGGCTCTATAATTACTTCCAACAGTAATTTTACTTAGTTAACCTCAAATAAGAGACAGAAAAGAAATTGCTACTCAGAAATGTTTCTCCAGGATTAACTACCTTGCTGAGAACGTTTTCTTGAATCACAAACTGACCCATAACTTGCAAATTTGATCCCCTACAGCCTTTCCCAATTACTCCTTTTCCCTCACTTTCCAAGTACCCATGTATGTATAAATACTGCTGAAACACAGCAAAATGCAGTTTGTAAAGTCTGCTTCTTTTGCAAAATATAAACATCAGTATAGTACTGTATCAGACATGCTTTAAGATGTTCCTATTCATTCAGAGGCTTTTACATTAAAGTGTTCTCTGAGAATCTATAAGAACCTTTTTAATAATAGCTTCTTAATCAACTGTTCTGCTTCATCTCCCCACACACGCATGAGTTTTGATACACTATTCACAGCAGAATTAATCTCAAAGCACGCAACAGAGAATCTTGTATTATGATTTTTTTTCAGGACTAGTTGTTGGTTTAATATATATCCAAAGCTCTGTGATGCAGTAGGAGAAACCTGACCAAGAAAAATATGACCAATATGACCCACATGAGCCCTGCATTTACCTCTACAAATATAGGTAATTTGTTCTACTCTGGATGAAAAAGGTGACTTYGAAATTTTCACATTCAAAAAGCTACCTTGAAAGGAAGAATGGAAAGACAGAAGCTTTGTAAAGGGAAACTTCAGCCCCACCACCAGAAGTAAGAACACAGAAACTTTTTTTTTGTAGAAAACAAAGCTAGTTGTTGATGTTTAATTCCAATAAACATATATTTTTTCCCCCGGTCTACATCTCTTTATGCAGAAATGGCCATTTAGGAATTTAAAAGCAGCAGCACAGAATAAGCTGCACTTCAGAAGTGAAAACTATTCCTCAGCTTCCCAGAATGATGCTGTTTCAAGTGCCCTTGCTGAGGAACCCCATACACCAGCCCTTCATTCGCAAGCTTGATCTTTTGACTGACCTTTCCAATTACTTATTTTCCCTGACTTCCAGGGAAATCCATTATCACTCTACACTGTGAGGAAGAGTGCTACAATAATACTTTATTACACACTAAGACAGCAGCAAAATAAAAAGATTAAAATATCATCCTAGCATAGATCTTCCACATACCAACGCCTACTAGTTTCTAGATTTTACTAATGTCAATATTGACTAAGCACCATCAGAGTAATTTCTGCACTAGTGGTTTCAGGAGTTCATTCAGACGACACGTGAAAGCTGTAACAGAGCCGCTGCCCCAGTGCTCAGGAGGACACGCTGCATCCTGAGCTTTCCTCACGTGCTCCCCCAGCAGGGTAGCAGCAGCTGCAGGGTGCACACTGGGCAGCACCTGCATCATCGCRGGGCTCTGGGTGCAGCGGGGCCACAGGCAGCACCGCCGCAGCACTGAGGCAGAGCTCGGCCAGCAGTCTGCTCTCTTCCTTCCTCTGAAGCAGCCCTAGCAGAGCCAGGAGCAGCTCTTCATGCAYAGTGCCAGCGCACACGTGCCTACCACAGCTTTCTTCTCATTGCTACCATCAGAGCCAACATCAGCTCCCCCGGGAACAGCCCACAGGCTTTAGGCAGCCCCRAGTTGCACATATCGCACAGACACCTGTTTCCTTCTGTTGCTGCCTTTGCTGGACTGTGATGCTCCCCAAACACAGGAACAACCTCTCATTTACCACACGATACAGGAGGACCCCACAGCTACTGCCGCGACCACAGCAATTTGCCCAGACCTCACTTCAGCACAGGGCCTCCACGGAAAGCAGGCCGAGGGCCAGACAAAGCGCGCTAGACGCCGCACGGGGCCGAGGGCCCCTGGCTGAGCACAGCTGTGACGAGAGGAGGGCCACCACCAGCAGAGCACACATAGCACTTACGCACCAGGGAGTCCGCAGGCCGCTCGCTTCACGCTCAAGTTAGGACATGAGCCTCCAGGCCTGCCRCTGCAGCTCCTCTGCCATTAGTAATCTCGTCCACATTTTTAAATTGCCACRTTCATCTCTCTCAGGATAAGAGATATCTTAAAACTCAAAGGATCGTATCTCTTACACAGRGCCTCCTCCTAGATCTCCTGACCTCTAAGTCATCTGTCCCTTACCACCAGAGCTTTAACCTTTCCTTAAGAGGAGCCAGGGGCTTATCTTTCTYTCCCCAGCACTTTTTCTATGAGGTCCCAGTACAAGCAGCATCACCTGCACTCCCAACCTGTCCCACAGCCTGCACGGCCCCTTTCCCAGGTGCTGCCAATATCTCCCTGCAGAGCCGCAGCTGATGCCCGTCTGCTCCCCAGGCACAGCTGGGTTTCATTAGCAGCTTGGACACAAGCCAAGGAGGCYACAACCATCTTCAGTAACCCCTTACCGGCTGCTCTGGCAACACAGGTCCCTGTATGAATATGCTAAATTTAAGCAGAGAACACAGGAGTGGCAAGATCTGATCACGTTGAAAGTACTGACTATCAAGGTGGAGGAGAGAAAATGCTTTCATCAACAAGCCAAGTATTTTAGTTTTGAATTAAGGAACTGATTCTTCAAGGTTACAATTTGTAGTCTTGGACRAACAAATACATCTGCATAATAATACCTTTTTAATGATGTAAACTGAGACGTATCAGGGCTTCCTTTATTAGAGGCCTGGAACACACCTGACATGCCTGAGCTGTCTGTACGGGGAGGTCTTAGCTGTGCTCAGCTCTTTTTCATCAAAAAATAAAACAGGGATAGTCTATATTCTGTTCATCAGATATCCTTCAACTAGATGAGAAACCRTAAAGCAACTCTTTGATAAGTCTCACCGACTGCTCCTACCTTCAGCAGACTGTGGGCATAGAAACAACTCCCCAAAGGACAGACCTGTTCAGAGCAAAAATCTAGAAAACAGATATGCAGCCAGAACCGAGCTGCTAACTTTATTGATTGATCCCACCTGTGGGCGAACCATGCCAGGAGTCTGTTGTAGCCAGACATGTCCCAGCAATTTATTCCTACACTGCAACATCCTCCTCACCTGGTCAGGCTACAGATGCAACACAAAAAGAGTATGGCAGATCTTAACATTTTATTATTTATTGCTCTCCTTATTTCACGTAACAACTTGAGCAGCTGCATGGGATTCTCTAATGGTGAAGACTAATGTAGGCAGTAAATGAAACTACACCTACCTSTAAACCTCTGCACGTATAAGACTGCTCAATAATATAAAGTGATTTAGTACCAAATTTTACAAGTTCTTACATCATTTTCATCAAAATAGTTAAACATGTTTAGCTTTTACATCATACAACACCCTTACGTGCAAAAAGTGCCGGATATACTTCACAGGGGATGTAGGTACATCATATATTTTCTTTCATGGGAAATAAGAATTGCATATAATCACAATATTCATTTTTAACAACATGCAGCCTCTTATCATGATTTCTTACACTAATATCAGTTCTTAAGCAAAATTTTCTACACATAGTTTAGTAGTCAAAGTAGAAAAGCATCTGATACGATGCCAGGCACGTACTCAGAGATTCCCTTGCTGCAGGCAGAATGCTGGCTACACACAGACCTTGGCACAGCAGCCTAGACAAAGCTGAGGCACAGCATAGAAGAGCCACAGCTGTATGGGCATCAGCCTGTCATATTAAAAAAGAATAATAATAACAAAATAAAAAAAGCTTTCCTTGGTTTAGAAAGCTATACTTTATATCTTTTCGATAATTTTTCAGGAGCAGGAAAATTATGCTAGCGCTATCTTTGGCTTTCACAGCCCCAAGCTTGATCCCTGCCAAGCAGCGGGAGGCYGCAAAACTCTGCAGCACGCTCTATTAAAAGCAGCAGCCCCAAAGCTCTTGGGCAGAGCTTCCTGCAAGTCTCACAGGAATCCATGAAGATTACTCAAGGTGCTAAGGAAAAAAACCAGCCTATCTACTAGTTTTTTACATTTGCTGACTACTAAAGCTGCAAATGCAAAATGTTTTACTGGGTTTGTGCATAACAGAAAAAATGGTAAAACCAGCTGAGCCGTAATGTTACAGTTATGACTTGCTTGATCTCAGGTATTACACGGTTTTCAAACATGTTTAGAGTAACATTTTTTTTTTCACTGAATTTGATTTATGTTAGGGATGATGTTACCTGAGGACTTTAATGTATTACATCTTTTAACACCTTAAACATTAGGATCAATTCTAGTTCCAAAAAGATTACATACACCTCAACAGTAAATGCCTTGTTTGACTTTATGAGGTGAGTGTGAAATATGACAGAATTACACATGCTGCTAGTAAGATCTAAAAACTAAGGAATATTTTAAAATATCTTTACAGGTTTCATAGAAATCAAATGTCTGGCATTCTCTTTAAAATTCAAAAAAATGAAGGTGCCATAGATTGCTAGAACTAGCAAAAGAAAATAATGCAGTCACTAGATGGGGTAAGTCGATTTTTTGTAAGTAATCTCTTCTTGCCCTGTAACTTTTTCAGATTTCCATAATATTCAATAACTTAGCAACTTAAAAATCCTAAAAATTAAAAAGTATTTTTATGCTAAAGCTTTCACCTGAATTTGCTGAGAGCAATATCTGTATTCTTTATGCAGATTCAAATTTCTGTTCAACATCTTTATAAGAAAAATAACTACATCCAAACAACACATTTAGAGCAAAGTTATTGACGACTTTAATCATTCCCTSTACCTATCATCAGTAACATCTGGCACTCAAAGCCATATCAATTATAAAAGGGACTAGAGATATTACTTGGCAATTATTAAAGGAAATGCAACACAGTTAATGACACTTCACACTTGAAGTTAATAAATTGCATTTCTATAAGCAGTTTTCATCCCAGTTCTGAAAACACAGCAAATATTAATGAATTTATTCTCACAACTCTTCTATGATGTTGAAATAAAGAATGAATGAAAACAGTTTTAGAGATTACCTTGTTTTCTTCAGATCCGAAAGGAAATTTTTGGCAAAATCTGCCAAAACTTGATTTCTGCTTCCCAGTTCAGCTCACCAAATCATATCAGCCCGCACAGCACAGAGTGCTGGAATCACACACGAGAATGATACAAACAAGGAGTAAAGATATGAGGACTTTAAAAGGTCAGACCAGTAACGAGYTTGTAACTATGGGAGTTTTTAGAGGAGGTTCTGTCACTGCATTTGAGTGCATTTCAATTTCATATATATTCCTCTTCCTTGCCTTGATGATTACGATCTCATTAGTTCCAATAATTACTGTAGCTGTCCATCTAAAAAGTTATAAGGACCAAAAGATGTGCCAATATGGGAGCTATGAGGGATTCTGTAACATTTCATAAACTGAAAGTTCAAAACAGAGTGAGAAAAGGAAGTAATCAGAAGCCAAGTTATTACCTGGCAAGCAAACTGCCATAATTTGAGCTTAATATATTTATGTAATCTCGTTTACTGGAGTTGAAACAGAATTCCAGAAAATTATACTTCAGAAAATTTCAGCTTCTTGGCAGCAGCAATAATTCGATCTTCACGGATATAATTATTTTCAATTTGATGCCCATATTATTTTCAGGCTTTAGACATACATACAACTATTCCAAAGAATACATTCTTCATAGCGAACTTAATATTTTCTAATATCWTTTATTAATACCAGTTGAATAACTTTGGCACAGCAGTTTTGAAGAACTGCAATGATTTGGCTGAAAGTCATTCATTTTATTTATACTACTTACCAATGTTTATCATGTACATTACAGATAATGTTGAAAATTGTACAATTGAACATTTCTAACATGAYTGGCTACAAAACATGTAAGACAATTAGTGTTTATATATTATGATGCCATTTACATCTCTACATTGAGGCTAGATGGTACCATTTATAGGCTGAATAGATCTTTCCTCTACATTTCCCACGTTGGCTCAGTAAATTAATGCTTTCAGAGCAATTTAAAATGTTAATTAATCTGGAAACACAAAGTCCTACTGCAAATACTTGCAGTGCGCAAATACAGTAACATATTAAATGGATGTTTTATTCTCCGATGAATCAAATTTTCAAGCTGCTGTTTTGAGAAAGTCCAGTGCCTTTGCGAAAGGCAATGCGGTTTTGCCACTTCTGGCTGGAGTGTGCAAACATAGACATGCTTCCCAAGAACTGTTTTCCAGCATTTGGGCCTTGGCTGCATAAGCAAAGTCATTCCATTAGGAAATACGCCCCCCTGCCAGTGCTGGCAGAGACCACGGGCACACCCGTAACCAAACATTTTAACACACAGTAATATATATTTTTTGCATTAAGGCCAGCAGGATCACATTATTTRTAATGGCCATGTAAATTTGAAGGATTGCATTCAACTCTTAAAAAAATAAGAATAATTTTTAAATGATTTAATTACTGTAATAGGATAAATTATTGAGTATTTCACTGAGAAAAAAAATAATGAAAAAATAGAAAGAGACATATGAAAGTGCTTTGCTCTCAGTGATAACATTTGATAATGAGCGGTGCTCAAAGCACTCATTACGAATCAAAGGACATCAAAGATAAAACACACATTCAAGAAGAGCTTAAATGTAAATTACTGCTTTAAAAAGATAAAGCTTTATGCAATACATTTAGATTCTTACCAATTATAGACTCTTACCACTTAGAGAACTGGAAGCGTAATAGCAATATGCAAAACCTAAGTAACAATGAAAAYACCCGCCATGACTCTTCCAGAAACTCCTTTCCTTATTTTGGCATGTATKAACCCATCAAAAGACAGACAGAAGATAAATGTCTAGGCAGCTCTATCGGACTGAGATTTCTTTTTCATTTCCTCCCTGGAGGTCTGTTCTGCTGCCTCCACCTGACCCTAACATCTACTCCTGGTGTCTGTCCTCTTCCTTAGACCTGTCTTCATTTCCTCTTTCTGGATCCAACTTTTTGGTCTTTTTATCAAGGCCAGAAATCCTTCCTGAAATTAAATAATTCTGTCTACCTTATACATATCGTGCTGTTCTGTGCAGATCTGAGAGTTTTAAGTCAGCCACAGAAAGTATCCTGGCAGAGGTGACTACAGCTTTCTTCTGGTGTCTGCAGAGAAATCACACTTGGCTAGAGGAATTCAAATAGGAAAGGAGGCCCTAGCCTTAAGAGTCACTACCACAAAACTTCTTCCATTCACAGGTGAAATTTAAACTAATTTAGTAATTTTTTTTTTCTTCTACATATATCACAATAAGCTTCCCTTCAGTCAAAAAATAACTTTTGAAGTTTGTGGTTTGACAGTGCAGAAAATCTGCCTTTAAACCTCACAGTGCTGCATCAAAACCGCTACAGTGGTATTAGATAAAGTGCTGATCCAGCGCAAGCTCAGCCTGCTCATTCAAATTCAGTCCAAAATGTTCCTGGCGTAATTCGTGCCAGCTGCCTTTCTGCTGAATAGGAAATCCCGGTAACAGTTCTCTGCAGAGGCACCGTGCAGTGGGCATGGCCAGCAAGCGGGCCAGCACACCGGGCACAGCACGTGCCCCTCACCCTGCAGCCTGACTCGGGGTGCCCTGTGCCCCTCGCCCTGCAGCCTGGCACATGGTGCTCTGTGCCCCTCGCCCTGCAGCCTGGCTCGGGCTGCCCTGTGCCCCTCGCCCTGCAGCCCGGCACATGGTGCCCCGTGCCCCTCACCCTGCAACCTGGCACGGGCTGCCCCGGTGGGGCTCGCACCAGGAGAGACAGCGGGTCCGACAGGCTGGAGCGCGTGCCCAGCAGTGCCCACCGAGCCCCCAGACCCATCAGCTCCCTCCGAGTCAGCATCACATATAACGTGGAAGCAGCTTGACCTACAATAGAAGTCTGTAAGAGCGTTACAGCGCAACAGTGGCATTCCACAAATGCTGACCAGAAAAAAAGAACGTGATTCAGCCAGAATTAATACCCTAAGTTGATGCACAATGAAAATATGTTTTCCGTCATATCTATTTAGTGCAGCATCTGTTCTCCAGTGCACCAAGGTGGCAGAGCTAGCTGGGATCCTGCAGGAAAGAGGCCACAAAGTCCTTCCCGATTCCTTCCTCCTCTGCCTCCTGCCTGTATTCTAACATACAGAATCCAAAATGTTGGTTCACCAATTTCTCACTACATTTATTTTACTCTTACAGTTGAGCAATTTCCTTTCTCTTAACTATTTTATGACCTAAAAATGCACCAGGTAAGACCAAAATCTGAACCTAATTGATKGTTCCAGCAGAGGTAAACAGCACATGACTAGAAAGGGTAAAATGGAATAAGCACAGATTGGTATGAATGGCAGAGCCTTGTTTATGTAAAATATTGCAGACGGGAAAAGATTTGCTGAAAAAGTTGAAGTTAGTCTCCTTGACTACAACAATAACAAAACCTTCACCACAGTGGGATTTGTGTCTTATAATTTTGGACTTCAGATGCAAATTCCTACATCTAAACTTGTTGACTATATTTTCTTTCTAGTCAATGAAAGAAAACAGCACTTACAAGGTATGAATATTTCAGGCATCTGAAGAAAAAAACCCWACATAACCATAATTCCCAACAATCCATAAAAACAACAAATAATTTTAAATAATTTCAAATAAACTTATTGATCATTTTAAGTTGTTTCTTTTTTTTTTAAACTGTCTGATGATGTTTTGTAACAGAAAATAGAGGCTAATAAAGTATAATACTTAGCAAAGAAAGAATAGAGCAAAACAGAAATGTGGAGAAACTGAAATTAGTACCTTTTGCTGGTAAGTAACTTATGTAAAATGTAGACGAGATGCTTAAATCGTTTTCTGAACTGAAAAGCTATTACCAGCCAAAGCCTAAAGTGTTTTTCAACAATACAGTTCCTGAATTGCCCCCCTCTGCCATGAAGCCTGGATATGCTTCCCCCTGTCAAGGCAGCTACTAATTACACTATCAAAAATTACTGATTGGAAAGAACACTTTGGTGGACAATCTTGTAGTGCTCACAGGGTCAAGTTCTGAGTTTAGGTTGTGGGTCTCAACCAGACAAATTCTACCTTTCGAGCAACTGAGATTTACTCTAAGAGCRTAATGTAAATGCTTTTAACAAAAAGTAGTCCAAAGCAGTGAGATAAGAGAATTAAGAATAGTATGTTTGGACTTGTCACCTACAAGGAAAAAAAAAAAAAAACACAGAGAATTTGATGGCTAATTCTAGAAAAATGTAGCACTGTGATGTGCTCCACAGAGCTAAAGCATTTGAGTAATTTCATTCCACTTCAAGAGAGGACACAAACATATATTTAACTTTAATCGCAGATCATCTTACTGCTTTCATTCGGACCTAATCATCAGCCAACGCACATGTGCTGAAACGGTTCGCTGAAAAGGGAGGAGATCACTTGCACGCTTGGGGTAATTGCGTGCCTAGACGTCACAGCGGCCTCTTGGCAGGCTGCAGTGTGTGCTGTCCGAAGGAGAAGCAAGTGGCAGTGCCCTCCAACATGCCCCACGGCTATGGCTTTCCTTCCCCGAGGGGGTTCTTTGGGCTAGGTCCTGCCAGACGGTTTCTGTATGGAGTTCTCTAGAGAGACTTGGCCAAAAGATGTCCTGTAGAAGGTAACACTGGTAAATTGATCTACTTCCGATGCATTTTYGACCAGTGAATAGGACTTAATTCACAGTAGAAATACTGATTAAAGTTAATGGTTATTATTAAGTCTAGTATCAGGTTCCAAGACAAAGTCTAATTACTAACTAGATTAATCTATTACTGTTAAGGTTGCAGAACACCATGCACTTATCTTCTGCAAAATATCCAGATTATTCTTTCTTCATAGAGCCTCCAGCAATGGGCCTGGGGACTCCTATAACTTATCATATTATATTTATGGCCCTATGACTGTAGTGTTTGATTTCCTTCACAGAATTTGGGAAACAAAAGTTAGACAGACAGGGCTCTGCTTCCGGTGAATTCATTTCAGTTGAAAACGTGTATCAAGAATTGATTCTTCTTAGAATGAAAACTGTATTACAAAATTCAAACAAACAAATTTCTTCTATATTTCCCCTGAGCTAATATCAAAGTCATGTCAAATTATTTGATCAAGTTACAGGCTATTAACTAGCAAAGAGACAGACTAAAAAAGTATACAAGTCCTTCAAGAACTAAATTGGATCTAGAAAACGAACAGAGATCAACCCGATAATAGAGCTGTTTGCTTTGCAGCCACTTACAGTGCATGGCCCTTAGCATAGGAGCCACTTGCCTTGGCTGCTCGTGCCCTTGCTGCAGTGCTCCTCCAAACTGGCCTGTGGGGCTGCAATGCAATCCTGTGCTCACTGTCATTATTTTTTACAGCAGGACAAGTAAAGAGCCTTAGATAAATGCTACCGCTTGTTAAGAAAACAAACACTATCGCTTATCCCAGGGAACAGTAACTATGGACTATGTCCATCACCCGGAAGACTATCTGATAYTGCCTCATGCTTTAGTGCTATGGTTTAACTGCAACATGGTGCTTTGTCAATTAAAGCACCTTTCATTTTAAAATCTCAAAGCAGAAGAGGAGGATTTTAAATGTATCTTAAAAAGCAATGCTCTGTGAGTAGCAATTTCACTTCTATTAAACTGAAAATATTTTTACTCTTCAAAAAGAAKCAGTTTGACAGGAGTGGTTTTAGTTTTGTTGTCAATCAACAAAATAATCAATCATATGGTTAATCAAAATCATTTATACTTCTCACAGAGCTGGCTACCAAATGTGGTATTTTAAACGCGGCAGGGATCCAGAATTTAGTTTTCTCAAGCAGAGCTTGTTTGTCTCTTGGCATTTAAGAAATACACAACTTCTCAGCATCCATTTTTATCTGTGCAACCCAAAAGTCAAATGGATTTCGGTACTTTTACAGGAAAACATTGGTATTGAAATGCATTTACCTTCTTCCAGATAAATACTGTAAGGATTTTGTAGAACCAAAAACAGTAAGAAAAAATGCTTAAATAGTTTTGGATAGATTCTTGGAAGATGAGGATAGATGAGGATGGACCTTTTGGATAGATGAGGAAGAAAACATGGCCTTTCCTTCACCATGAGTAACACAAACCCAACAAGTATGATGGGGTGGGGTGGGAAGACAGAGGGGGGGAACAAAACCAAACACCTCCCAAAATCTTACAACAGTGCTAAGATATAGCAGACACCTCCAAGTGAAGCCAGATATTCCATCTCTAAACTGTGCAATACATGAACCTTGGCTTTCTTCCAATCTCTTTTAAAAATAACTGGACAGGCTACTCACTCATGTCACTAAGTCAGTATTTTATTAAGATGAAGTCACGGAGGCTGCTTCTATTCATAAACCTCAGCAGAGAGATCTCCTCAACATCATTTTGGATCTTTTACATACAAGATTTTTGAGGAACACTGGCATCATGGTGAAGGAAAGTCTCAATTGCCTTTAGCTTTATCATACTAGTAGTTGTTTGGAAACAGGATCCCAAGAGAGAGAGAGACATGTTAGGTTCTATAAATAAGGGAGAATTTAATTGGGGAAAAGGAGCATTACTGCTTTGAGGGATTGTAGGGTACAAAAAGGATAGAGTTCAGTTTAAATGCAGTGGCACACTCCTATCAGAGCATAACTGCTACTAACAGAATATGATTAGAGGAGAAGAAAATAGAATAATAATTATTTTGATTCTGCCTGAAGTGCGAATAAACCCAACAACCCATTTAACAGTAACGAGGGGGGCTGGGAGGCAATACAGAGCTTTGGGCATTGCCGTGCTGTGACGTGCAGTCACCTGCAGAGATGAAAGYGGGCAGTACTGCAAGGAGCTCGCGCACGGGTATCTGCATACATCTTAAAAACTATGTTCCATTTTATTTTCAACTGATTTCAGTTTTAGAAACTCACAAACAAGTTATTTCAGGCCAACCACTGCTCCCACGAGGCAAAAAAATGACATTGTGGCCACAGAACATAAATCTAGAGGATCCAGTCTATCCTCACTAGTTTTATCCTGGCCAAAAAAAAAAAAAAAAAAACATAGCAAAGGTGAAAAATAATCTTTGAAACACTGTCCTTCTTCCTGATTGCTTTCAGAAAATAAATTCCTGCTTACTAGACATGTTCAGATGTCCTAACCTCCCTAAATATCCTTAAAATCACTTTATTCTGAAGTACTACTATTATATTATTCCATAGTAYTTTATTTTGCATTTTTATAAAACAAATATTTTATAAAGTATTTTTTTTGAAATAATGTGAACTGGTTCAGATCTACTGAAAAGTGATTTATTGACTGTAATCTTTTAAGTTTTACATTTAATGTGACATAATTTGTCAGTAACAGTTTTTGATATTTGTGTGAAACATATATATATATATAGTATATGTATTTTTCACTTAGCTCATGAAAGAAAAATAATTACAAATCTTCTGGATTTAGGTAGGTGTCATTTAYTTTAAGATACAAATATCAAGAGAAAAAAAATAGCAGTTTTTATATCTACCAGTACCATAAAAGTTTGGCCAATGATACAAGATGTATATCGATTCCCTAATGTGAAATGACAGCTATGAGAGTAAGGGCTCACTTAAGAGATTCTAAAGCCTAATCTTAAACTGATCGAATTTAGTCAGCCATTCCAGCAACTGTCTTAGATGGAATCAGCTGGTTTATCGTAAGTCCAGTTTCATGATCCCCAATTAACACCTCAAGTAGAAATGCTATGGATGAAAGTTTGACACTAAAAAAATTGCATGCAGTTATCTGTGAGTATCTTCACCTGATCCTATTGATAACTCTTGTCAATCTCCATTCTCGTAAATAAATGTACTATATTTATTGTCATACAGACAAC